CCAGTAGAAGCCTTTGTGTTGAGCTTTGAAAAGGGCAGCAGTCCACTTACACGGTCATATGACTTATGAGATTGGATAGATGTATATTTCCAGACATCTTCCCAGAACTTGGCGGGCTCAGATACACTCCACTGCCAGAGATCGTTGTAAGTGGACATGGACAGGCTATGCTTGGCATTGGCGGATTGTATGAAGTCGTAGATCTGGGTACTGCAAGGGCTCGAGTGTCGCCATAGTTCCTTGGAACCTGTATCGTCGGTGGACCTAGTCATCGTAAAGGATCGTGATTTATTCGCACCAATCAATGACGACTGGAGATTTGTTGATCGAACTATAGGTGCACTCAGTAGACGGTGGTATGGAGAGCAAGAAAGTTGCAGTCAAAGTGAGCCGAGGTCCTTCCGTCCTGATAGAGTTCAAGCCTTTGTGGCTCGTGGTTCGTCAGTGTTTGAGACCTGGTTTAATCACACGGCTCTTGTTCAATTGCAGATACTTTCCAAATGTGAATGGGGAAAAGGATCGAACTGCAACGAGGACATCCTTTTTACGCTGTTGTGCTAGGGTGGGTGTCCCGATCTATCTACCCCGGAGCGGAATCAAGGAAGCCGGGGACGGAATCTGCAAGGGGATTTCCGCGGTAGGCAGACAAACGCCTGGAATCAGGTGGGGACGCAGTGAAGATACAACTAAGTATAGAAATAAATGTCCTGGGCATCATTCAACATATTTGTATATCCTATTTACTGATAAACATTCAGAAATTGTAAGTTAGACTATATCAATCAACAGCAGCCCCGTTCTGTGTCTCGTCTTTTGCTCGGAAACCTGAGCCGTAACCAGGGTCTCGCCTGAGGCAGGAATATGTACGCTGCAACCTGCAGTATGTGAATGCAAAGCGATTGATGCAAGAGAATACTAAAGTCCCTGGGAGTAACTAGCGGTGAAATCCAGGCTGTCAGACTACCGACATGAATGGCAGTTTCAAGGTGCCTCTGGTGACCATCACCTTGCGTTGCCCCTTTCTGGGATGAGCGAAAGTCAAAATACTCGATAGAATCCATGCGTGCAACGAATGGAAACAAAGCGTGGAACTTGCAGAAGGGTCCAGGGGCGGCGGGTATGTTTACCGTCAGAATACCGATGGCTCAGGTACTCGGAAAGAGCACGGATGGTGTATAACCAGCAAACAATACCGCCCTGTGACCGACTTCGATGGGTCGGGGGGGCTGGCTCCACTTCCCACCCGTAACTCCATCGTCATTTGCAAAATCTCACCAGCGAAAATTGCGCTTTTTCACCCCAACCAAACCCTACACAGTATTGCTTTCACTTTACAGTACGCAAGCCTGGGCTCCGCTTCGATTCTTAGCCTCGTACCTTGTTTGGTGGCATTATTCATTACTATTCCCTTTGAGGCTGTTTTTTTCTCTTATTCGCGTCACAAAATTCCATTATTCATCTCACTCCAATCTGTCTTCTTCCCGTTATTCGACCTTCGGGGCTCTTCGTCTTCCCTTTCCGATCTCTTTTCCAGCACCGACCCTTTTCTTCCCTCGCCAACTTTCAATCCTACGAAAGGTCCTGCCTCTCTAACGGTTAATCTGGTCGATTGATTCCCTTTGGCTTAGGGGTCCCGACAGATCCCGTCGTCGAAGGGTTCCGTGCCCTCAGCTACTGTTCCTCCACGTGCGAAGGTACGTGACCGATCAGCCCCGGAGTCTCCGGAGTCTCTCGACAAGACTCTTCCTTTTTTTTTCACCCCCCTTAGACCCCTCTCCTCTTCGCTTCTTGTCATCTGAGTCCCTGTCTCTGCTTGCGACTACAATCCCTCGGTCGCTTAGCCATTTTGTTATCGCTCTCCTCGCCTGGTGAAATGGTGACTGACACTTCACTCCGCCGTGTGTAGGTGACACCGAATCATTGTCATTGCCTCTTGCGCTGGAGTAAAGGAGGCCAGATCAAAGGAACACGCTGCCTAGAAGCAAAAGTTCGCTGGTTGCCTATTAGGTAGTTCTTGCCGTACTTCTTGCTGAAGAGCCGCGGCAGAAGTTCCTTCATCCCTCGGTGCTGCACAACCCTGCTCGTTCCTGTCTAGCTGTTTCCTTGCGATGCCTCGTCGCGCTGCTAGTTCTTCCGTCAACAACCCCTCCAACGCTCCCTCTTCATCTCCTGCCTCCGCAAAGGGTGGTATCGCCATCAAGGCGTCCGCCGTTAAACCTAATCGCCTAAGCCAGCTATTTTCGACCTCTCCTAAGCCCAAGGCCGAATCTCAGACTGCGCAGGCCGCTGTCCAATCGGCCAGTGGAATCCTGAACTCTAGTACTGCCACTCCACCCATCAGTTCGGCCTCTTTGTCGCTGCCTACAATTTCTCTCTCCACTGCCACTGCAGATAACCCGAACATGGACGAACCACCGACCACACTCTTTCAGCCGCCTTCGCCCGAAGAGGCCCGTCGCCTGGCTAAGCAACATGCTCAATTCGGACCCATCGGCCACCATAGCCACAGGTACACCAGCCAGCACCCCGGTGGTACATTCCCGGAGCCTGTGATGGACGAACCCCCGTATTATTACCTCCTCACCACTTATATCAGTTATCTTATCCTAATCGCTTTCGGTCACGTGCGAGACTTCTTTGGAAAGCGCTTCCGCGAAGAGAACTATCGGCATCTAAAGCCCCAGAATGGATACGGCGCCCTGAACAGTGACTTCGACAACTTCTACGTGCGTCGCCTCAAATTGCGGATTAACGATTGCTTTGAACGTCCTGTTACTGGAGTTCCTGGTCGCTATATCACGCTGATCGATCGGGCCACGGATGACCACAACAAGCACTTCTACTTCACCGGAACGACCACTGACACCTTGAACCTGAGCTCATACAACTACCTAGGTTTTGCTCAATCTGAAGGCCCCTGTGCGGACATTGCTGAGGATTCGATCAGAAAGTATGGTATCGTTTCCCCCAGTACTCGCGCTGAGGTGGGATCGCAGGATCTCCATGTGGAAGTAGAGGACTTGGTCGCCAAGTTTGTTGGCAAAGAGGCTTCTATGGTCTTCTCCATGGGATTTGGCACCAACGCGAACATCTTCCCTGCTTTAGTCAACAAGGGCTGCCTTATCATTTCCGACGAGCTAAACCATGCCTCGATTCGGTTTGGTGCACGTCTTTCGGGTGCTTCCATTGCTATGTTCAAGCACAATGACATGCGGGATCTAGAATCAAAATTGCGCGAAGCTATCAGCCAGGGTCAACCCCGTACGCATCGGCCGTGGAAGAAGATCTTGGTTGTCGTTGAAGGGCTCTATTCCATGGAAGGTTCTATGTGCAACCTCCCTGGACTGGTCATGCTGAAGAGGCGTTACAAGTTTCACCTGTTCGTTGATGAGGCCCATTCCATTGGTGCCATTGGTCCTAAGGGTCGTGGTGTCTGTGACTATTTCGGAATCGACACCAGCGAAGTTGACATTCTCATGGGAACTCTCACAAAGTCTTTTGGTGCCAACGGTGGATACATCGCTGCGGATAAGGCGATGATTGATGTGCTTAGAGCGACCAACTCCGGTGTCTTCTATGGCGAGGCTCCTGCTCCGGCAGTTTTGGCCCAAATCATGTCGGCGTTGCGGATCATCAACGGCGAACTCATCCCCGGTCAGGGTGAAGAGCGACTGCAGCGTTTGGCCTTCAACTCGCGGTATCTCCGCCTGGGCTTGAAGCGTCTTGGCTTTATAGTGTACGGCCACGATGATTCGCCGATCATACCTGTTCTGCTTTTCAACCCTGCTAAGATGCCAGCCTTTTCCCACGAAATGCTGAAGCGGAAAATCTCGGTCGTTGTCGTGGGTTATCCTGCTACGCCGCTGGTATCTTCTCGGGCCCGCTTTTGCGTCTCTGCTGCACACACCAAGGAAGATCTTGACCGCATCTTGACGGCTTGCGACGAAATCGGCAATGTCCTGCAGCTCAAATTCTCGACAGGCATCGCGGGTGGTGCCCTGCCGGAGGATGCGATGCCCCCTCCGGAGAAGGAGAAAGAGTTGCGTCGCAAGCGCAACTCCAAGATCATTCCTCCTAGATGGCAGATTGAGGATGTGATCAGACGAGGCGTTCAGGATGTCAAGTCGCCACTTTATTAGTTGGCCGTTTACTGGACTCTGATCAACCTGCCTTCTGCACCATCGAACCATGTCGATGATTGAAGATGTTGCACACACGTTCGGAAGGTGTCCATCACATGAACCAGATCGATCCGATACTGGTCACGCCGCGTCGCTGGTCGATCCGAGGCTATTCCATCACTTCCCGTGTATCATTTGACAACCATGCGGTTGTCATGCTTATGTTTGACTTTGGCACCTACACGCACTACAGAATTGAAACTCAAAGACGACCATGGTCCCCTAAAGCACGGCAATGCGCCGTAGCACCCCTTACTTGATTGCACATTGTTTATCACTTCTCTCAAGCCCACGAGTCATGTCATCCAGCTGTTTCAATTGAACAAACGACTATGACTCGCGTGCCACTGTTTCTTTTCTTTTCTTCTCTTTTTCCTTCTTTACTTCACTTCCTCCCTATCCCCACACCCCCCATTCTGTTCTTCCCCCCTTTGTCCTTTCTTTCATTATTAACCTATAGATATTACTGCTGATTCGGTCCCCCTCACCAAGTGCTGGAGGGCTGGGACCAGAGTGAGCCACTTGCGACTTATTGTTCAAATAACATGGGGCAATGCAAACTGTACCTACATAATGAGATTGATGAGAGAGAAGCCGAAGAGAAGAGAAAGAAAAGGGGGTGGTAATGAAATGGACTGAACACACACACACTGGGCCCGGCGATTCGCGGTTGGGGCACCCACATTAGCGATTATAATTAGATGACTGTTAATATTCTTTTCATGAAAATTTTTGATATTTACGCTTGATCCTTATGAAGTATTTACTCTTATCGCCTGTTATGGTATTACTAATTAGTAGTAAGGTAGATGTGATGACGCGAGTGTACTTGTTATTAACTGCTCGAATATGGTCTATGCTGCCAGTGAACAAAGACAATTGGTCTATCTATCGGTGCTGGAATCTAATGACAGTAGCAGTATGTATATGCCAAGCATGCTCTACTACATCTTCATCCCAGAGCAAAATAAAGCAAAGCAAAGTCCGTATATGCCGTTGCTGTATGTATGCATCTAGTATGTATTGGTGGACAAAAGAGAATGCCATGTAAGGTCCAAGCCGATCCAAAACCCGTCCCCGAAATAAGAATAACCAAAAGCGCCGCCCAAAGAGACCATCCTGTAAGCAAATGCTATGCATGCTTGGCTGAAAATCGAGTCTTCGTCTTGGTGAAGACTCTCTGAAATAAAAAAAACTCCAGTGCAATCGCCGCAGGCGATCGCTAACGCCAAACAAGCAACCAATAAAGCGAAATGGAAGAAAGCAGGAAAGCAACGTCTATTCCCGATATATGGGGATAGGAAGCCATAACGTCGTAAAAATAAATCATGTTCGCCTGTTGGATGCAGGTGCCTGACCTGGGTATTGTCGGGTACCGGTATGCAGAAACCAAAAAAAAGCGACAAGTAGGGTATAGTAATACAGAATGAGATCATAATCAAACTGTACCGTATCTCTCCCGCTCGTTCTGCAGGAGAGATTGGTTCTCCCCTGAAGAGACTGTGGCGCCAGAGCGAAGTCGTCGCGCAGGGGACACTGAAGGGATCCAGCCCCTCATCCAGCCCCGAACGCGGGTCCAACGACTACGTCCGTCTTTGGGGTCTTCAACTTGCATGATAGACTCGTCATCCCGGGTTCCATACATGAGGAACTGCACGCCCATGAGTCCGTCAAAGGCTAGCACACCAAAGGCGCCAAGGAAGAAGGGAGTAGCTCGGGTAACCCATTCAAGGCGGTCGTTGCCGTCTGCATCGGCCCAGCCACCACCCCCATAGGCTGGGAAGTCATACCAGGCGTTAGGATTGGTAAGAAGGGAGGCGGAGTAAAAGAGGTTCCCGCAAAAGGCAGCCATGAATAGTAATGGGGAGAGGCCTGATGTGCTCTTCCGGCAGTAGTTCTTGTATAGTTGGGGTGGCCGCGAGCCGAGGTAGAGGAATGTTGACATCCAGGAGATGATCCGGCCGAGGATCTCGAGAGTCTTCTGTGAGGATTCGGATGTTGTTTGCTGCTCTGTCGGAGCAGCATTAGCCACGACGGCGCACAGCATTGATGCAAGCAGCAGAGTGCGTGGGGACCCAATTGGGAGGCTGGGGCCACTGCTGGATCGGGTGATTGAGCGCTTAGAGGAGCTCAATTTCTCATTGGAGTAAGAAGGAGATTGCCCGTTGGAACTCGGCACCGCAGGTTCCTTGATATCTTTCATGTCTTTGGGATTTGACGGCAAGGGGGACTCTGTAGAGCGAGGGGCGTGATCGGAAGAGCTGTTGTCGGAGAACGAGACGCCTTCCAAGACACTACCCGGAGGCCGATCATATTCCGAATGAGCAAGGGCACCGTAGCCATCATACTGTCCCCTATAGTGTGTGTACCAAAAGTATTGGAAGACCAGAGTCACGTCAACGCAGACATAGTAAGCAGCCACGATAACCTGCCAGCCTGCCTGCCGGGTGAGCAGAGCACCCAGGAGGTTACTAGTATCACCCAGACACCACTCCACGAGGAAAAACAGTGACAAGCCAGCCGTCGACTGGATTTGATAATTCTTGTATATTTGTGGGAGCTGAGCGAAGAGCCATGACACGATGCTGAGGGTTCCGAGAACGGAGGAGACGAAGGCTAACGGTGTGGGGAGGCAGATGTGGAGGTAGGAGGACACGGCCGCGAGGAATGGGGTTGTCGGTTCACAGTGTTGCGGGAGCACTGCATGAATCTGTTGTAAGAGAGGAGGAGGCATGGCTATTTCTTGTGCCAGGAGTCTATATCTGTGTGTGACCTAGACAGACTGTAGAAGTATCTTTGGTGTTGGAAGTATAGGACGTGTCTCTGTAGCGGTAGGAAGGAACGCTAGATAAGGCAGGGCGATAAGACGAACAAAGCAAAGAGGGTAGGCAATCCCGTCAGCAGCTTGCTAACGAGAAACAAAGACGAAAGACGAGGGAAGAGAACGAGACAAGATGAAGAAGGAAGAAGAGAGAGAGAAAGAGGAAGAGAGAGGAAGGAGAAGGAGGTGAAGGCATGCGCGACAAGGGAAGGGAGTCAGTCACACTTGGCGGCCTCGAGATCGAGTCACGAGTTGATTCTGGGGCTGAGGATGGAGGATGATCCCTATCGCCGCCTGCTGATTGGCTTTCCCCCAGAGGCAAAGAGGACTCGGAATGGAGCGGACTCCGTTCGGCAACAATTAGACTAACTATCTTGACTAACTCCAATCAATAATCCTCATCTTCATTCCGGATCTGCTGGTCCATCCGCACTGGGACCATTGCAGATAGTGAGTGATGACTCTCTCTCAGCTCGCTCTTCCCCCCCTCTTTCCGGTAACCCTACCCCTTTCAAACCCCGGGATTCTCCTTTGATCTGCCTTCTCCTGCGCTTCGGTCGGCTGTTCACATTCCTACTGCATTCATCGCCCAAACTCTCCGAGATTAAGTCAGACTGAGCGTGGGGTGACACGGACAATACTGGATGATTGCCGAAGGGAAGAGGCATGATAGACTTTTTTGACTCCGAATCACAATTTTGCCGTCATCCCATGGATGCGAAGACGCCTTTCCAAGGCAGAGCCCGAGACTTCCCAGACCCGCCCAAGGCAATCCCCGGTCAAGATCACGGCTGCCCCGGAGTCCCGACCCACACTGTTTATTGAAGGTTAAATCCAGGCAAAAGCACAGACAGCATCATCGATTGCAACCCTAATCTCTTACTATGATAGACTCCTCGTTCGGTTTCCAAAACAATCCGTCACTGCCACCTCTTTTGAGACATACATGGCTCGAGTTGACGGATGGCCTATCTCGGCCTGCATCTTGTTTCGGAGATATCAGGGATGTTTTCGGCAAGGACCGCAAAGGGACACACTAACGTAGCAGAGAGCAAGAGAACTCTTATCTATCTGGACTCACCATTATCGGCAAGCAGGCAGACAGAAAAAATAACGGTGAGAGATATGAATATGGAGCATATCGGCCATCCGTTCGTAGATCCGCTAGCATCTCCCCGAACAGCTAATTAGACGCTTATCTCCTTGATAGCCCCAGCCCACGCTATCTATGAACATGCTCATGATCGTATGACTTTTCTTTGTCTTCACTCAACGTGAAAACAATCACTGAATCCGCACCGTCTCTCTGTAAATTTCGAGAGAAAGCACGCACGCGATCAACTGCTCAATCCTCGAAAACCCCGTCTCACCGCCTATTTACGATCTCGCGATCGAGGCGCGTAACCAGGATGTGGATGACACTAAAACATGCAGGTACAAGGGTCCCCTTCGTCTTGGTGATAGGACCCTGAACTGTCGCCATATGTTTATCTTCATCAAACCCCTCTGTCAGCGATGATGACAACATCAACCATCAGCATCAAATTAGCAGTCTTCAATGTACTAGACTCATTAGTCACCTTTCCATTTCATATCCCCTCCCATCCCATCCTTTATTACATGCGGCAGCTATAGTAACTACCACTGCAAGACAAGAACTATAAGACGCCTTCTTATACCTCAGATAAATTAACCTACCACAACCTCAAGAACATCATATACTAACCATCGCACAATCCCGCCATCAGGTCACACCATCACATGTAGCCATAGATAGCCACTTAATCCAAGCACCCCACTAACTACCCCATCACTTCACATTCACCAGTATATATCCGTTCCTTTCACAGTAGACCCGTCCAGACCCCTCCATCCCTCTCATTCACTTTCAATCGCGTACAACGCGTCACGAACAGCCCCTCCCATTGGACAGTAGCCCGAAAGTGGATTTTGGCGATTCTTTCGACATCTAGAATGCTCTGAGGATATGATTGGCTCTCGGGGGGCTGAAGAGTTATGGAGTGTTTCTGGTGGCTGAGATCTAGCTGAATCGAGGTAAGTGAGATGGGGAACGAGGAGTTTAGATGGAGGTTAGATGATCTGATATTGATTCTTCTTTGTGAAGTGGGCTGGAACATTTGGGGTGGGGTGGGCTTATGTTGAGGAGTACGTATCCTGGACAGACACCGTGTGGATCAATTGAATAGATAACATTCTATATAGCCAGTAACTCACAGTAAGTAGAATCATAGACAGAGACAAAGAGGGTATCAACATCATGATTCATATCCAACATGGCTCACAGCTCAAGGAAACAATCAATCATAACCCATAACTCATAACTCATAATACTTCCCTACCACTCCTCCTCATACTCCTCATGCCGACTTCGACTCCGACTCCGATGTCCATGACCATGATGATGATGGTGATGGTGGTGATGATGATGATGTCCATGTCCATGACTCGACGACCGTCGATAATGACTACTATGATACCGAGTGTACTCAGTCTCGCGATCATCATCCACCTCCACCTCTTCATCACTATCGTCCTTCTTCATCTTATTACTAACAAAATTCCCCAAGATCGCACCCCCAACTGCCCCCAAAAGTCCATGGTCTTTCTTATGTCCCAGATAATACCCTGTCGCGCCACCGAGAACAGCTCCACCTAGACTGCGCTCGCCTTCTTCTTCACCGGAAGCAGCACCAGAATTGGTGGTAGGGACATTATCATAGGCGCGGGATTGCTGTTCGGTATCTGGGGCTGAAGGAGGAGGGGCTTGCATGTCTGCGGCGGATTGGGCACTGTTTTATTCCCTTGTGTATAAGTATAATTGTATGATGTATATTTACATATGAGATTGAGGGAAACAAAAACAGACTAGTACTCAGCATTACTCCCCCTCCGAACAGGCGGTTCATAGCCCGGTCCTAGACGGTCGGGATCATAATGCGATGTAGGATTAGACTCATTGTTGACATTATTGATATTGGTGCTGCTGCTGCTAGCAGGCTGCGGATTCCATTGTGTCGGATAAGACCGAGGGATCTGGCTCACGTCGTACTGAGAACTATAAGCGGGGTCTTGATTCGGCAGCGCATGCTGGTTGTAGAACTGTTGCGGTTTGTAGTCGTATCCTGCGTGCTGGTAGACGCCGTCCGGGGGAGAGTAGTACGGAGTTTCGCTATTTGGGACGGGAGAGGGGTAGGATGGTTGCTGGTGCTGGGGGTAGGGGTCGGACATATTTTGGAAGTGAGTAATTTAAATGGATGGGATAGTTTATCGCTGGTCTGGTTTGGGAATGAATGTGTGGTGAGGGATATTGGTTGGTATGTATGTATGGATGGATGCATGTATGGGGTTGCAGTTGAGATGGCTGTTATATTCGGATAGTATATGGTTGTCCTGTGAAGATGATCAGCTGGGGCGTGCTGCAGGAATGGGTGGTGGGTGACTGGCGGCTGACGGGGGTGGGTGCAGGTGACCGTTCCGCACGACTCAGCCTCGCGAACACATACGAACTGATGACTCGGACTTGGCGACAGGGTGGCCTGTTTTTACGCGGCTGGGCCAGGTCTGTTTGTTCTGGCTGAAGTGGAGCGCTCCTACAGGGCTATTGTCTTCGTGATATTCTTGATATTGCATGATCTATCACGTAGGTTCCCCAACAAGGCGGTGTGCCTGAATGAATGCAAAAGTTGATTGATGAATAGCGAACATGTAGATCTAACATCACTTCATGAAAAGTCGGGGGAAAAGTGCACGAGGTATTGGAGGTGTGTAGTTTAGGGTATCCCAGCAACTGTAGAAGATGGGCTTCAATGCAGAGAACATACAAGCAATAAAAGAAAGAGACAGCTCGCAACACTAAAAGACTGAAGCATACAAAAACATAAAAAGTCAGAGAAAATCAAGGCCAGATATGACCGATCATCACCTGTCGGGATGAATGAGTCGCGCTATGCAAGTGACAGCGCAGGTATGATCGAGTCCCCGAATGAGAGACGGATTGAAAGAGGGACAATAACATGGGCCAACCAAGTTCATGCGTCCAGCACATTGTTAGCCCCTGGCGAACGGAGTGACCCGTCCTCTTGGAATTTGCGCGAATAACCGGAGTTGCAGATGTGACCAGTCGAGTGTACACCAAGTACCCGAGACCAAAAGACCTGCTTATTTGCTCGCCGCACTCCGCGTTCTCCGGCCTACCCACTCAGCGAGCATCGCATCCAGCTGGCTGGTCATCTCCCTCAGCCTCTTGCTCTCTTCTTTGAAGAGACAGCCAGTAATCGGGTGGTCAGGGCCAGCGGGTGGGATGTTAGAGTTATCGTGGACAATGATAAATAGATCGCGGATGTCGTTCTCGTCATCCAAGTATGACCGCAAGCTAGCATCGCTCCAAGTCGGTGTTCCAGCAGACGCAGTTTCAAACGACGCAGGCACGGCGTCGATGCCTCTGTGATCGCTGTCACCAGCAATAGGAGATAAGGGCGGGGACACCGATGAGACTGAGTGTCTCCCAGGGGATGGCAGGCCTGCCACCAATCCTGGTGTAAGAGGTGAAACCGGCCCTTCCAGCGGAGAACCGCTGAGAGGCGAATCTAGACGCTGTGGCTGGTAGTTCAACGTTTGCTTTGGTGTGAATTTCTGTGGAGGAGACGCCACGGACCGTTGTTGAGAATATGTGTTCTCAGACATATCCTCCTCCCAGGTTTTCTGGATGTCAGCGGATGGGTGTTCTTGGTTAACGAACGGAGTTGAAGCCGGCTTCTTTGAAGGACTTGGCACACGGGCAGAAGACAACATAGCTTCCTGGCTGTCGTCGAAAGGCCCAAGGGGAGGAGATGATGGGATATCATCATCCTCTTCGGAAGTTACCTGTCGGATGGTCTGATCCTTCGAACTCATAATTGGCCTCGGCTCTTCTTTACCATCGATGGGACTCTGAAGACCAAATTCCTGGATTATGTCTTGCCTAGTTGGAGACATAGCCGAAGGAGGTTGCTTCTGCAACTTGCTGGTCTGTCTCTGCACCACCAAAGGCTTAGGCGACCGAGCAGATTCGGGAGAAGACAAAGAATCCGACGATGTCTTCGGTTGTGGGGACGTCCGAGACAGCTCCGTTGAGGTCTTTTCCGCTTCATCCGTGTCCTCATCGTTAGACTTGGTCTTCTTGTCCTTCCTCTTGAACAGGCCGCTGAGCATTCCTGGCTTTTTGTCTTTACGCTTCTTATCGTCCTTGTTCTTGTCAATAGCGCTGAGCGTCTTGTCGATCGCCTCCATGCTGCCGCGGCTCTGCTGACCGATTAGCTTTCATAACGACAGAGGCAGTGAACTAGATATATGCTTACCTCTTTCGCCTCACCCGATGAGTTCTCATCCCGAAGCAGGTTCGGTGTCAAAGAGATCTTCTTGGTTTCAACAGTATCATCCTTGAAAAAGGAGTCCGTATTCCGCACAGTGCCATTTCTGGACCTACTGACAGCATTTTCCGCTGAAGACTGTTAGCTTCCACTTCGCTATCCCTGAGGGATGTCCTCACCTTCCGCTTCAAATATCTCCTGGCTGGACCGCTGCTTGTCGGAACTAGCGCTGTCAGGCTCTTGCACTTCCTGGATGTCGTCTTCTTCGATTCCTCTGTCCTTCTGCGACTTGGGTCTGAGAGGCTTGACAACAATGTCTTCATTCTGGCCATCCTGTAAGTGATCCGCATCCTCCCGGGCCATATCTTCGTCTTGGAAAGAGATATCGTCGTCCATTTCCTCTTCGGTTGAGTATTCTACATCGGATGCTTCAATGTATGTTGGGCTTGTGAAAGTAACGGTCTTCGCATTTCTGCGGCGCATTGCTTTCTTCAGCGGATTCTTGGACTTTTCCGAATTATCGCCAAGCATGGTTGCGGACAACTGATGACGTTAGAAAAGACCACGGGATCAATATTAGCACTTACATCTACGTTTCTGTGTTTATTCAATCTCGCCAACCTCTCTGTGGGCGTCTCAATGTGTTCGGCTGGCAAGTAACCTACCGGATAATTAGCTGACATCTCGTGTAACATCTCAGGTAACCTACCGATACTGCCATCCTTTACGATCCTAACAAGCCACCAGTAGCTGTTGCTATCGTCTAAAAGAACCATGGTATCGCCCTTCGCCGCATTTGCTTGTCCGTCAACGGTTGCGAAAAAGTTGTGAAGGGCATAAACAAATTCAAAATCGATGTCCTCTGGTCAGGGTTAGCCATGGTCCAGAGCTGGACGGCTGAGGGCAAATAAGATGCTTGGATACAGGCGGGTTGTGTGACACAGGGATGTCTACGTATTCCCCGAAAGAACCAAAAGAGGCGGAACGCACCGTCATCAATCGATGGAGAGCTTGAAATCTTGTCCATGAGATCGTCGTCCATCATGTCGTCGCTTTCCCCATCCGCAAGATCGCCTTCTTCGGAACCCCCAGAATCACCCTTGTGATGATGGTGTCCCAGTTCGTCCACTTCCTCAATATCATCATCGTCGTCGTCGTATATATCAATCCCATCGCCGTATCCAGCTTCCGGATGGTCGCCTTCAACGCCGGGGCCGTGCATCATCTCGGATTTGATAACGTCGTCCGCATGGCGAAGGGTTTGCTCCTGGTGAGGAGCGACTCCAGATGAGTGAGTAGGTTGCCGCGTGTGATCTTTAGCTGAAGGAGCGTTGTGGTCTTGGAGGTCAAGGGTGTCTATCATAACATAATCTGGGTCAGCAAGGGCGGAGCCGGTATACGGATCGGCGACCATGTGCTCGGAGTAGACGTACCAGCCCGTACAATCCGTGGCCTCGCCATGTTTGCTACGTTTCTAAGCAGTCACAACTATGATTTGAAGGGAACGTCTTTCGAATCTCCGCACGAAGGCACGACTTATGGGATCACGGGCATTGGAACCACGTGGTAACGCAACTGGCCGCTGCCCGACGTCGGGGTAGGAACGGTAAGGGAGTGTGAAGGGATATTGGAAAATCGAGAAAGGAGCGAATTCCACTGGAAATTCTAGCTGCGATGGATGTATCGACGCGAAAGAAGGAGGGAAATGCCAGGAACAGCAACAGCGGGGGGTGGGTACTTGGGCGTCCGACCAGGCGACGATGGTTCAGGCAACAAGGCGAAAGAAAGACTTCCAGAGTGACACAAAGACGAAAGCAAAAGCGAAGCAATAGAAAACGATAGCCAAAAACGCCGATGTTTTGGAGAAGTGAAGCTGGTGCCCAGAACCGAGTCAAGAAACCAAAGGCCGGACGAGTTCCCCGGACTTTCTGGATTGTTTGAGACAGACCCGAAAAAAGGAGGTCTCCAAACTGGTTGCTCCAAACAAGCGCCCCTTGCGCGCGCTTATCCACATCTTACCAAAGAACGGCGTTCAGGGCCCGTGCCTGGCCCTGCAGCTGACTGGCCACGCGCCAACGCTGTCTTAGGTAAGTTATTCTAACCTGAAGTGGTTAGCTGGTATGGGGTCGCTGAGGTAAGATGAGTTTTGTATAGGGCTCAGGGCATAGGGCCAGGGCGATAATATCAGGTGATGGGGGGGCGAGATGGGCGAATTGGCAGGTGATTAAGTGACTCTGGAACCACGGCGGGCTCTGACTGGCGGTGGATGGTCGATCCCTCCGTCATGAACGACGCCGTGTACCACCTAAGCTGCATTGCTGATTGGTCCAGGCTGTCCCCCACCTACGTCTGCTGCTCCGACCCTTCAATGGAACCCTTCAATTCAGCTCCGTCATCACCCGATATTGCCCTTCGTTCACCATTTTCGTCCCTGGTGTCTGACGATTTTTCCTTCTTTCTTCCCTCCACAGCTGCCTAGAAGCACGCCGTTTGTTTTCCTTCTTCTACCTAACTCCAATCAACTGCCTGCCCTATCATCCCTAGTATATCACTTTGTTCTATTTTAGTTTCTTTTCTCCATCTGACTCACTGCACTTTTGAGTTTAGCTCCGGTGGGATCGGGACCCTCCGATAAGTAGTAGTATTACACGGAGTCGATAAGATTACAAACGGTCTCCTCCCGCCCACTCCTCCTACTCCTCCTTCTACTCCTCTTACTATTCACTCTCCTCTTTCTCCTTCCTTCTTCATGTGCAAGCTTCGAGTCATCCGCGAATTCCACGACAGTTAGATCGTGGCTGTCTGATCCTTGACGCCCTTGGATATTACTTTGCTCTCTCTCCGAGGGCATGGCTCAGACTGGGAGGAACAACGGATTGGTTGGGTTGAAGCTAGAGACGGCCTTTCAGCATTCGCCGAGACCCCGGTGGCGGGGTGATGATGGAGGCAGAAGAGTGTCGGATCAGGGAGACGGTATCGAGGGCGATCGTACAAACATCTTTCACGATTATCACGCACCCCGTTGCGGTACTGATGAAGACAACAGTGCTTTGAGTGGTCTGCACTCAGCGACACCCCCCATCTCCGTTCCCCGTCATGATGATTATCCCAAGCAAGATGTCCACTTTCCTCACAAGCCAGAGGATGTACAAGCATCATCTCCGCTCGACAGCTTTCTTCAAGAACGCCGCCCTTCCATCAGCTTTGACGCCGCCCTTGACTCTGGCCGACGCCGACCGCTAGAGGATCCTTCTTCGAGGGGAGACGTTAGGAACCGCACTCAACGGTTCCAAGCAAAGAGTTCGAGCTTGAGGAATTCTTTGCCTCTGGAAGATGATGCTGACCACAACGGAAGACAGGTGGGACTCAGTTCTAGCCTTAGGAGGCAGCAGGAACGACGAGCCATCCCTACCGGGATCACTCGCGACAGCTTCCCCGAAGAAAACGGTGCTATCCCATCTGATATTGAGCATCCTACTTCTCTCACGTCTCTATCTACTGCGTCTCCTATCACGGAGGAGCTGCGAACCCCTCCAGAAGGGTCGCGGGGCATGTTATCGTCTCCCATCTGCGTGGCCTCGCCCGTACAGACGTTCGCTTCACTTGATGACCGCAGCTCCTGGTCAGGTAGTGTCATGACTCCCTTTGGAAGTAAGGCACGAGGCCTTCGCGTCTCAACCCGCCAGCGGTCTCGCAGGTCTACTGCCTCGAGCGGCAAATCTCCGGCCAGCATGTTTCTGTCTATGTGGAGCACTGGTGCTGAGGAGCCGGCTCCTCAGCCAGATGATGAGGGACAAATGGTCGGTACTGAGTATGTCCTTGGCAAGCAGATAGGATTTGGTGGCTTTAGCACAGTAAAGGAGGCCTACAAGGTCGAGGAAAGTGGCAAGACAAAACGGCTTGCCGTCAAGATCGTCAAAAAACAAGTTTCTGGACGAAGCGAGAAGGAAAATGACGAGGTCCAAGCGGAGTTCGACCACGAGGTGCGAGTTTGGCGATATTTAAGCCATCCGAACGTCCTGACATTGGACGCGGTCTACGAGACCGATTATGCCACTTTCTGCTTCACAAAACTGGCTATTGGCGGCACGCTCTTCGATCTCGTGCGGCAGAACCGCCGCGGATTGGAGATGACGCTAGCCAAAAAGTATGCGTTTCAGCTTGCGTGTGCCCTGAGGTACCTCCACGAGGATGCTCGAGTTGTTCATAGGGACATCAAGCTGGAGAACTGCTTGTTGGATCCTACTGAGTCTCCTGATGGGACGAAGACATCTACTCTCGTTCTGTGCGATTTCGGAATGGCAGAGTGGATGAACTCGGACAATGAGGATGCGTCACCTGATCCTTACGATAACGCGGCAGACCGTCCCCCGCCCAAGACCATCGGCCCTGCTGGTTCCAGTACCAGCGTTGCGGGAAGCTTGGAGTACGCTTCCCCAGAACTCCTTCTTTCGACAAATGGAGTTATCGATCCTTCGGTGGACATGTGGGCATTTGGTGTCATCGTGTTCACCATTGTCGTCGGATCACGGCCGTTCCAGGATGCTTTTGCTCCCCGGATTCAATCGAATATCCTCAGTGGGAATTGGAATAAACATGCTGTGGTGGGTGAAGAAGCGGATCCCCAGCTTCGCCAGGACAGAGAAGACGCATTGGAGTTGATAATGGGCTGCTTAAACATGAACGTTGATAAGCGGTGGTCGATCCGTGACGTGCTGTCTTCCCGCTGGTTGCGGGAATTCTTGGACAATGCAGAGAGCCCTACGGAGTCGGCATGGAAGCTGTAAAGGGCTTCATTCGTTGCAGTGCCTCAACGCATTATATTCTTTCTCTTTCTTTCTTCCCCAGTCGATCGATTTTCCTCCCGTCGGGGGACTGGGAATGTTGCTTTACGAATGACCGATGATCATGACTGGCGCTTTTATGATACTCACGAGCGCTGGTGTTTCCGGAATGTTGATCATCTATGATACCCTCTTTCAATGTTGGCAGCGTTCTGATTTATGAGTTCTTGAATTTTTCTGCTTTAGCGCATCTCGGTATACCTCTCTACTTTATGTGTTTTGTTACAGGCATTACAAATCGCCGTCGGGGACATTTTTCGGGCAAGAAGAGGGTCTGGTTTTGGTTTGGTATCTCATCTTCTTTGACTTCACCTTTCACTTGCAACAAAACGCTTCTTTTCCTGGTGATAAGGCATGGTGTTTGTTGTTTCTTTTCAGCGGTGAGGGTTTGCGAACAAAACTTGACATATCCCATTTCCCGTTTCGCTTTTTCCTTTTAACATCTGTATTACCTACCTATATCTGGACGGTCTTCTTGCTTGCTGAGAGGTTCTCTGGCTATTTTTGGTGTGTCCACAGTCTCTTCTCTCTTCTTCTTAGGGCATTTGCTTTCTTTGACATATGAGCGACATTCTGCTACTATGAATGAATTGAACAAATGGTGGTGGGAGAGGGACTTGTATCTAGCGGAGATAGTCTAATTGACTCGTGGCTAAAATTCTGTCATGTTCTGTAGTCACTTCGATTCTTGTATGCAGTAACAGGGTAACCAAGGGATGTAGAAAAAGAATTGAAGAGTCAAGTCAAGCCTAAATGTAATGAACCATATCCACAAGCATAACATAACATACAAGCATATTTATACAAGAGATAATAACCAAAAGGAAAGCAAAGCACTCAACGAAATCAACATCTATACCTACACCCAAACCAAACCACCCCCTTCATCACCTACACAACCTTCATAAATCACCCCCCTAACACGATCACCAAAGCCTATTCTCAGGCAACACCTTCTCCTTCCTAACACCAGCAGCAGACTTCCGCTCCACAGGCGACCTGAAGAACAAACTCGGGCCCTCCATCGGCTTCAACAAATGACTGAGGTACCCCCTATGCGCCGGGTCCCTATAATACTCAATATCCCTTCTCTTAGTCGGATCCGGCAACCTATACGCGAACCCCATCTCCTTCATAACCTTCGACTCCGTCAGAGCCTCTCCATCCTCACCAACCGCCAACGCCTCACTCCCACTCTCCTTGGTCCACGCAAGCGACACAAACGGATGCATCTCGCGCTTCATGATCCGCGCAATCGCAGACTTGGTATAGAACCTCGTGGTGACGGACCCACCAGCCGCCTCAACAGCCGCGATAGCAGACGCCGAAGCCCTCGACACAACGATATGGATAGGCTGCTTGAGCACACTGTCGACGGGAACCTCGTGGTCGTCCTTCTCCACGCCGCGGCCGAGAAGCTTCACGCCTTCTTTGGTCTGATGGATGCAGCGCGATTGAGCGAGTTCGCGGACCGTGATGGGACGGGTTGGGTCGATGCGGCCTTGGTCGATCCAGGATTGGATTCGGTCGAGGTTCACGGGGGCGAGGTCGATGGAGTGACTATCCGAACCCATTGATTCTCGTTAGAATTTATTCAATATTATCTTTCTCTCCGTGTCAAAGATGACAAGGGCGGAGGGAAGGGGGAAAACATACACATTATTAAACCCCCTCTCACCATGAACAATAATATCCGGTGTTTGACCACCATTAAACGCAGCGGGGACCTTTCCATGCTGCTTCTGACCCTTGTGACCTCTTCCGGAGGTTTTACCCTTACCGGAGGCAGGACCACGACCTCTTCTGATGCGCTTGTTGTAGGCGCCCTGGGTATCGGAGAGCGAGGCGAGGATGTGCGCGTTCCGACTTTGTTGGTGGACGGCTGGGGGCAGGAGGAAGGCGGAGAGGAGGTTCGTCGTCGTGGTGGCCATGGGCCGCTGCCATTGGAAGGGCAGCAATTGGAGCCGGGGAGGCATGGTGCGTGGTGTGGTGGTTGATTGATGGTTGTGATGGTTGTTGATGGGAGTTCCGCGGACAAAGATCTTTCGTTTTCGGAGGTGCGGGTTGGGTGCCTGAGGCGGGAAAGGGAAGGGTCGGGTCGGGTCGGAGAATTTGTCGGGCCGGGGGGGACTTAGAGTAGGTGGTTGTTTGCTGGTTGTGGAGTATGTTGAGGGTAGTATTCTTAATGGGGTAGGGGTTGCTGTCTAGGTGTTTAAACTGTGAGAGATGTGTGTATGCCTATGTATGTGTATTTGATTGATATATGTCTGTTAGAAGCCTGGTGGTCAGTATCACTCTGGTTATTCTACTTCTCACTTGACTAGATGTCACCGCTCGATTTGTCCGTCAGAGTTATGTCCAGACTAAGGCGGTGAGATAATCAAGTCACCATTAGAATTGACAGACTACTATAGATGCCTCCTACTGAGCAGAAAGATATCGATGTGTAAGTTTTTGTTATTGTAGCAGGTCTTTTAGCCCGCTAGTTCGATCGTTTGAACGATCCGTCATGCAAATGCAAGCATACGTTAGTGTTAAACGTACAGGAACCACGCCATACCCATGCTTCGAAAAATCAATCAGAATCCCTCCCATGGCCAAGTATGCAAACAATTCCTTCCCAGTACAAAGGCCATCTATAAATGCCAACGCCGTAATAATGCTAGGTCATAACACAGAGTGAAGAAAGTTTTGTACAAGATACACAAAGGGGCAAACATGAACGACAGGTGTGCGAGACAAGCAAAAGAGAGAAAAGAATGCGAACTTCTTCTCGTATATCATCGTAAAATCTAGTCGTAAAAAAGCTCTTTCGATAACGGCAAGTCATCTAATAGTTCAGTGTGGCGTGGAAGATCGGTTGCGGGAAAGGTCCCTGCGGCCAAGCCTCAGACTGCGCATATGGCAGCACACCCGTCCTGCGTTCGTTTTTGCCAAGCGGCTGGTAGTGCATGTGCTCGAACGGGATGTTACTGCGCTGCTGCAGAGACGCCGACGGGGGCGGAATCAACAACGTGTTGACACTGCGAACCGGTCGGTAAGGCGAGTTTCGGTTTGCCAAAAAGAAGGAAGGGGAGAGGTGGTTTTGAGGAGTGTGGACGGAGTACGCAGAAACTGCAGGCGAGATTGTGCCTGATGTCACTGTGAACGGACTGTTGTGGTGTCTGCTGGGGTCGGGCAGTGAGATGGACGTGTTGTACAGTCCGTTGGCCAAAGGTGCAACGGCAGTAGTAGGAACCGACGTCGCAGGTGGCATCTGTGGAACCCAATTGGCAGAAGGGTTGTAGACCGGGGGCATGACTCGACCGGAAGGGGGAAGTTGAGACAAAGACGTCGGCATGGTAGGGGGAAGACTGTGAGACGGGAAGTTGGGCCGGGGGAGTCGCGAGACCGGTTCTGACATGGCCGGAAGGTGAGGGGGGACACTGGAGGACGCTAGAACCGGAGGCAAGGCCGGAATGCTTGTGAGGGCCGATGACGGTGGAAGTGACGGCATGGATGTGAGTATGTTGTTGGGCATGGCTGTCCTCTTCGCTGTAGGCTCCTCCAGTGGCTCTTCACGGGACCGCTTCCGAGAGCTAGTGGCCGGTGGCAGGTCGCTTGGGAGCTGAGGTGCGCCAGTGTATGGCAAAGTGTTCATAGGCAAAGCCCAGGGCTGCGTCCGGAGGGGATCGGATGCGGGAGGCGACGGCAACTTTGTCGAAGGTGATGGTAAATGTGCCCGAGGTGATGGCACCAAAGTGGGAGACACATTGAGGACTGGCGGAGTAGGGTGTTTCTCGTTCTTCTCAATAGCTCGAGGTGCGTTGTTAAAGTAGTTCGAGAAAAGCCCGAGTTTGGCGTGCCACTCGTTCCATTCTTCTTTGGACACGAAAAGATTATAGCGAATGTTGCTTAGGAACTCCACTTCCATAATGTGGATCTCTTGGACTGTGATCCCGGAGACCTCTGCCCAGGTCTTGTTCGTGTATGTGTTATCATCGAGGACTACCCTGTGTCAGCTCTCTATCCATGGCCGTTTCACTAAAGAGACATACATTTATTGCCCAGCATCAGCGCGATGGTCATCAGCCGATACTCGCTACCCTTCTTTCCCCGCACACCAGGGTTGAACTTCTTCAACCGGTAGACGAAGAGCAGTGCCAGTAAGATGACGTTCTGGCTAACCTGCGTAGTTGACAGGATATTTGTCACCCACTTTTGGAACGCAACAGCGGGAACTGCTTCTGGTGCAAGCGAAGTGGCCGGCTTGAGACGGTCCTCCACGGCCTTCAGTTTCGCTGTACTTTCGAACCAGAAAAGGCACGTCATCTACGGCCTAGTCAGCATCTTAGATCCAGAACGGATAGAAGAACCCAGCTTACCTGTGCTGCAAATTCAGCCAGGCTTCCTTTGCTGTTGCTGATAGACGGAGGAATCTGAAGATACGACGCAACACCATTGGAGCTGCTCTTCTTCTGAGACTCTCGTTCGGAGGTCATGGTATCCTTAGCCGGCGCTTGATATTGCGGCTGGGACGAGGAGACCGCTCCATTCGACACATCAGAAGGCATGCGCGTATAGTCAGACACCTTGGAATAGGGTGGAAGCTGAAATCCATCGAGCTTGCCACCATAGGAAGACGCTGGCAGAGCGCTGCAAGCAGTGACGCTATTCATATCGTTCGGAGGGGTAGGCAGACCGTCCCGGAAGGGAGCAGTCCAGGTGTAATCAGGAACTTCCGAAATAGCCTCAAGAGGTCGTTTCCTTGCACTGAGCGAGCCTTCAGTCCGCGAGGAAGGAGCTATAGTAGGAGTGATCGGGTGAAGGGCGGGGAGATACGGCTTCGTTGAGAGGATCGGGAGAGACATATGGGAGGTATTTAAAGATGGCGTCAAGATTGAAGTTATAGAACCGAGGATGGAGATATAAAGGTAACACCCTTGTCAAAGAACTCGCATTGGACTAGCTCTTGACCAAGTTGGTGTTATTCGCGGGTCGAGTGTTGATTCAAACCAGGAACTTCCCAGGTCTTCGATTTTCGGCGTGGTATGCGACGGCTTGTTGCGACAAATCCAGACAATGGAAGCAACACACACGAGGTCAAACGAGGAAATCGCCGATAAATGAATTGGGGTTCCAAGGGAATATCAGCCTGGCTGCGGGGGAGGAGTTGGTAGGATAGCAACAGCAGCGGATCCGGTGAATGCTGCTTTCCCAGATGGAATGAAGGCACTTAAGGGGGTGGGAGTAATGGAAGCAGGGACCAAGAAAATAGGATGAAAAAGGATTATCACATAGTAAGTATATTAAAGGTAAACGAGATGTAGGAAGGGTCGTAGTAGTTATAGAAAGTAAGTAGTAGTGACAGAAGAATGGAAGGTGAGGTTCTGGGTATAGATTGCAATAACTAAGGTTGCAAGTACAGCCAGTTATAAAAAGGTATTATATCTCAGGTAGTTCAAAGGGCAATTGAGACGATCATAAAGGAAAGTCAAGAGAGTTAATTTAGAGCCAAAAAGGAAATTAGAAAAAAAAAATGATGAAATGAAATAAATAAGAAGAGGCCTTGGATGGATTGAGAGCCCATAGAGGAGACGGAATCAATTGAATAAGGCCGAATAATAAAAGTAAAAATAAAAATCAGGAAATTAATAAAAAAAAAGGTAAAAGAAAGGTACTAATAATGAAGGATGAAGTCAAGACATCATCCTCCATCCAGCAAATGGCTAATCATCTTCAGAGCAACTCCGCTAGAGGAGCCAGGGTAGGCTAGTTCTCGTCCGGAGAAAGTGCTGTGCCCATACAGGATAGACAGAGTTTGACCCGGACGCAGGTCCAGAGGGTTGATCCTCCTTTCTGGCCTCGTTTGGGTCGGTTCCGGTTTGGCTGCCCGGGTTTGATTGTCTCTGCTTTGTCTTGAAGAGAATGAAATACCGGTTGATGTCAGAGCCACGGGGAGGGGGGGGGGAAAACAAAGTGGATGCATGCTACGGAGTAGTGGAAGGGTAACAAGGTCAGCAGCCCTAAACCAGATTCAGCGTTAGGTTCTAGTGTCTATAGGTCATTTTACTGGTCCAGGGAGGAAGAGGGGGCTTTTTTTTCCTACGCCTTTTGGAGAGGAGAGAGAGAGGGGGGAGGAAAAAGGAAGAGGGGTGGAAGTTCGGACAGCACCTCGCGCGGTCTTGGAATAATACGTGCCTGCTAACTCCGTAGGACCCATATCAGATCCAATAATAAGTCGGGTTTAGCGTCGCATTGCAACCGTCGTGGTGTGCCGCCCAGATTGGATTGCTTTTGGTTTATTTCCTTTTTTTTTCTTTTTTTTCTTTTTTTTCTTTTTTTTCTTTTTTTTCTTTTCCTTTTTTTTGCTTTTTTTTCCCACTTCCCTCACCCTGATTAGCTACTCACACCTGAGCATACTTAGTGTTTACTTATGCGTCTCCCGTTGCAGTTGGTCTTTCTATTCTAACTAAAACGCATGGAGATGCAGTAATCATCTTGAAAGTCACAGAGAGGTCCTTACAACTACTCATACTATAACCAAAAGCACCAGTTGTAAAAGAATAAAAAAGATTAAAACAGGCAGAAGAAAATAGTATTTTTTTATGGAAAATGGAATAAAACAAAAACAAAAAAAGAAAACCCACACCCAAAGGAAAAATAATGACCATGAAATGAAATAGGAAGTAAAAATTAGGAAAAGGAAAAAGGTAAAGATATCTTACACCAAGGGAGAAGGGGTGGGCATTGCTCAGCAGCCCCCGGGAGGCACGGGAGAGAGTGGACGAAGGGAGGTTTGTGCACTCTGGATGTGGTTGATCGCCAGTTCTAGTTCAACCAGGCGGAAGGCAAAGGAATGAAAACTTTCGGTACGGAATCGAACACTGCCTTCTGGTTGCTGCGTAATAATCAAACAATTCATACGGCATCCTTCCCGAAAAGCGTTAGCGCCCCCTTCACTTTATTAAAGTGCGCAGCAACTGAACTGGGGACACAAGCAGGAAAAGGGAGGGGAAAGACACAGTAAGAGAGCCAGAGGAGAGGAAAGAGAGGCGGGGAGCATGGAATTATGGATCGCTGCGTACAGCAGCCGTAAGAGGGTCACGGTGGCTAAAACAGTTCTAGTTAGTCCGTGGTTGGTACTGGAGGTTGGTCACCACTGCTGTGCGGGCGAGGCTTGCTTAGATTGGAGACTGGAGCAACCCGCGAGGTGGTCAGTCACTTAGTAAGGCGCCAGGCAAAACGCAAAAAGTCAAACGTTCAGTTGCCGGCAAGGCGGTGCTCACCCAGTGAGGTAGTGATGGCAAGGATACTTACTCTGCAAAGTTAAGTCTGGTACCGGGTTCAGCTTTGGGTTGGCTCGGGTTGTCATGAGCAAAATGCAGCTATGTGCCAAAACGTACTACGTACTTACTCCCTGACAAAACAACACACTCTCTCACCTCGCCCGTGTCAAGTATGGAACGGGTCCGAATAGATTGGGAGGTATGAGAACAGACTGAGTGGTTGGGCAGTCTGGTTGCAACTAACTCGAAGTGGATTAACCCCTCCGGCCCAGACAGGTAAGAGTTGCTCCGACGTATTGGTATTACCGATATAGTGTTTCTCCGTCGTGGGCACACACGCGCCCGTCATGACGACTAACTACTGGTTCCATCTTTAGACAATTTTGGGAAACTTTAGCATAGGACGATATGTTAGTCTAGCCGTTTATCCACCCGCTGTGTAATGAGGGGGCCAAGGCAAGATGTTGCGTATCCATCATGTAGGCATGTAAGGCATGTGTGAGTACGAGGAATTGGATGGATAAGCTGCACACAACGATCCAGAGAGGCGTAATGAACTGAGAGACCAATCATCGGAAGAGAAGCTAATGGCCGGGCTCCATCGATCTGTAAACACGCAGCCAATCGCTGTGGGCCTAAGCCTTTCCACTCAGGATGGGTTTGAGCCTGGAGAGTTGGAGCAAAGGTGCTCGAGAAAGCCACCCACACGCCGCCCCCGTACCTTAGGCAGAGAGTCGGAGGGCAGCTGAGAATGAGAGGGAGCCACTCACTAGGTTACCACTAAGTTGGGCTCGGCAGCACCACAAGCAGACGCGCCCCCTTGTGACTACTACTATTCCTCTTACTGTTGACTGCCGGTCTGTTCTCTTTCCAGGATCCTTCCAGTTAGTACTAGCGGGCATTTGGGATAGTTGTAATGGAATAATGAATTGGGTAATGATGGATGGCCGCGGGGCCAACCCGGAGTCTCCTGCGACTCACTTGCTGCGGACAGTGCCACATAGTAACATACCATACCTTATCCACCGCCCCCCGGGGCGATGGATGAGGTGAGTAGCCCATAGTGGTGGTAGTATTCTAGTGAGAGTCATGACCACTTTTACCAGATGGTTGTAGTAATTATCCACATGCAGACCACCCGTCCAATCCGCGAGGCCGCACCACCAACTCTCGCCTGCACCTCTTCCAGGTTCCTCTACCCCCTTCTCTGCCGTCATACTCCGCCCGGCCGTAATGTTCCGTGTATGGTCCGAACCATGAAATTGGGCGCACCGTTTCTGTGGTCTTCTACGAGCCCAGAGAAAAGTACTCCCTTTTAGCCAGTCTCCAGCAATGAAATCCGATCTGGCCCATTCGTTGTTTCCGCCACCGGTTTGCAACCACTGTGATGACTCGATTTCGAGATGATAGGGCGCCGCTGCTGGTCATTCCCGGCAGGTAAAAAAAAAAAATATAATAAAATACAAAAGTGAGAAAAAAGGAGAGCCCACCCACTCGGCCAAGGACCCATGCAGGCGCAGGCGGCTGTTGATTTGGCTTTTTTTTCTTTTCTGTACATCCTGTCAGCTGCTCGTGTACGTCCTTTATTACTGTCATTGACTTTTGCCGAAAGAAGGAACCCTATCATCCATGGTTTGATATCACCCACATTTGCGCAGATATCCGCGGCAGTACGGAGTAGTCCTGAAACTAACAATGGAGGGGGGTGCGCCGCTTGATCCAAGACAACATTCACACCACCATCTTACCACTCCAGGGTCCCTAGCATCGATGAAAGGACGCTAACTCCCTCCTTTGGTGGGCTCCAGGGCAGGAGAGCAGAATGAAGTAAAATAAACACAACTACCACTGCCGAGTAGTGCTAACCTACTACTACTACCACTTACCTGTAAATATTGGCCATACCATCGCTCGATGCAAACAAGGAGAAAAAGAAAAGGAGAAAAATTCCCTTGTACCACCGGCTGGTCGCACTTTAGATCACTCTTTAGTCTTGCAAGCTGCGTCAATCAATGTATGTTCCGCAAAGGGTACGAAGTATGCAGAGACTGAGTGGGATGCTCGGGGCGAGGAGAGAGGATGGAGTCCGACATGGAGAAGTGCTGTATTATGGTTGGGACCATCATGGGGTGATTATGGAACTACTAGTGGCGACCAGGACAAGAGCTCTTCCTTCGTCCGACTTGTTGGCCATGGGTCACGGAAACGCGCCATTGCTTCGAATCAGTTCTGCCCGGCACGCGCTTCGAGTATAATTAGTAGTATTATTGACATTGATTATGATTTCATATACCTCGTACCGCCCGATGATCAATAATAGTTGGCGGCTGAGCATTAATCTGTGTCTCATCTTGGGCCACTTCCGGACGCGTCTCGTTTTCTGCGTTCGGGGCGGCGAGCTGACTTCGGGGTCTGATTGTCGACCGATGGCACTCGAACTTTGGCTAGCCTTGTACGCGACGATTATCAAGAGTCACGGAGGCTTTCCTTTTCTTTACCTTGAACCCGAACAGGTTGGAGAATGACCATCCATATCGTTGTCGCTAGCGTAACGATCGCTTCCTCTCCCTGTGCGAAGTATCGACTCTAGTTAGTTCCTTAGCAGGTGCAGCACCGTCGGAGGACTTCCCTCCCTGTCCCTAGACTGCCGTAGTAGTGTCTTTTTTTCCCTCTTTTTCCTTTTCTCTCTTTTTTTTTTTTTACTTTTCTCCCTTTTCTCCATTTCCACCACACCCCATGCACGTACTACTAATTTTCAGGGGGTAAAGTAATCCAAATCCGAATCTGATAGTTCAAGCATGGCGTTGAGACAGTTCAAGGCCACAGGAGCAGATCAACTGAGTGATCGATGGGGATGCGCACCCAGTTCAGCAGGCTCCAGAGGCCTTTTTCATTCGCTCGGTCATTCCAGTGCGGCTAATGATCACCCCCCGCCGCCCCTTGGAAAGACTGGGACTGGAAAGGAAACGAGCAGAAACCAGGCGTCCATCCGCCGAGATTCAGAGAGAAAAGAACCGAACGTGTCCCGAGTAGTATGACAATCTCATCCCAGGAAACGTGACAAAAAGGGAAGTGCAGCAGGCCCATTTCCCTATTGTTTGAATTAATGGGACGTGAATCCCTGTCTAGATTGAAGAAACATTGGTTGGTTGGTTGGTGTCTTGGACGGATTTGACCTGATCATCAATCCAAGAGTACTCCGTACCAGACTTAACAATAATACAGTGGCCATCGGCTACGTACTATCCATAGGTACCCTGCAGATGGGCTTGAGATGTCTCGCAAAGGAAGGATTCGTGCGTAATTAATGTTTGGCACCACAATATGATCAAAAGGCCCGGGCAATGATAGTGCTTCGTCGGGTGAAATCCGCCTGGGATTATGGATTGATTGGCATTGTTGCGGAGCTCGTCCATACTTATGGCTATAGTTTTAGCGAATCATATCGACTTTGTTCCATACTTCAATAATATAATGATGTGCGAGACTTTTGACAGCGCTCCATCTTTACCGATCGGGAGCAGATGGATAGTTTGGTTGATTCGTATTTCCAATGATACCTGCAAGTTGAACGGTTAGTTGTCCCCCGTAACATCATTTCGCCATCATCTCCAGAGAACCACCACGACAACGCCAACTGGGGATCGACCGCAGATGAATTTGCGAGCGGAATCAGATGATGCTTCATAGGTTGGATGAAATCTTGATGACGACTCGACCAATGCAGGTGAAATTTGGCAAAGATTTGGAAGTCAAGGGAAAAAGCAAATGGAAACTGCACGCCACACAGTGCCGATAAAGAAAGACTGATAACGTCTGGTCGCGCGGTACCGACGACAGTAGGACTATCTACAATAGGATGCTGTCCGGGTCTTGTATGGAGGTTCGGAATAATCCCAAATAGTAAGTAGTCACTTAGTAGGATGTTGTGTGTAGAACCCCTGATCCTTTCCCTTTTGTGCTTCTTGCACTTTTGCTGCCTTCCTGGGTGGGTTTTCTAGGTTCCTTCTTCAACCTTCTTTCCGAAAATAGTCGGTCAAGTCCGCGTAGCCATAAAAAAGCACCGTAGGTAAATGATAGCTCCATAGGAAACCCCAACAAATGCATCGACGCCTCTTTGCACTTGCATAAGAATTATGCCGCTCTGCATTCCAATTGGTATCATAGCCACTAGCTGGAAGTCTAGATAGTCGCGGGCTATTCATTTTGAGATGATGGGGGGGAGGGAGGAGGGAGAGGAAGAAGGGGAATAAGTTGGGTGTACCATCGAATCAGAGCGTCGAGTGTGCATGCTCTTGGCCTGTGTTCCTTTATTTTTGCAGCCTGGCTTTCTGGGGCATCACGACTCAAGCGCGATACGGTGTAACAAATAGACAGAGTGGGTTTGTGGTGTTCCAGAACTTCCGGCAGAAAAAGGTGATGATGGGCTGGATGATGGTGTTGGAATTGGTCGTGGCTATTTCTGAGCTGGGAAATAAGTGGCACGCACGCTCCACTTGGAGTGATCAGTGCAAAAAAAGATAGAAAAAGTAGACTAGATACCGACTGTCCTCCCTCCATCCTCGATTAGTCCACCAACCCCGACCTTAACTTCCTAACTAATGAAGATGACTCCGGCCCCCTTCGCTTTTCGGTTTCAAACCTTCCAAGGCCCATCCGGCATCCAGAATCCAGATGTGAAAACTGGGGCTGGTGGGAATCCTTGGGTCGTTTTGTCACCCGAGCACTCGGGCGCAGCGACGGGCACAGGCAACCATTTGTGCTAAACGAACAACGGGGGTTGTTGACGCGACGATCGAAACTCGAGAGTGAGGCCATACTGGGTAAAAGAAAAGTCTCCAGCCTTCAATGAAGCCCCATAATTATACGCTGCTCTCAGAGGATCTGACATAATTCGGGTACACTGGTGGACTTCTACTTCCAAATTACCGTGTACACAAGTATCCACTAAACTTCCTGGTCATTGCTCGGAAATAGTAGTCGATGACTATGGAGTTGCTGCTCAGTATAGTTCCCCCGTAAGCAAAACACCACCACCTTAAGCTATTTTCCTTTCTAGTACACTAAGTCTTACATTCTCTTTCCTTTTCTTTCTTTTTTTTTCCCCCCATCATTATTTACTTTTCGTTATGTCCTGATTGTCCTTGTCTTGGCGCCTGTCGAATATTGCCTCGACCAAATTCATCTCCCTGACTGGCCATTTTGGGTTCAATGGATCTTCTGCTCCAACTAATCTTGTCTTTAGGCCGAACATTCATCTCAACCAGATATCTGGACCAATGACATTCATTTTTACAGGTGCTGTCATCTGCCGACTCCTCCATGGTGGTCCTTGAGACGCGAGAAGAGCGCAGAAAAAAAAAATTGACTGAAGCTCTCAAGCCTATGGTCATTAGTGCTACGTATTAGCCATAACGGAACGTAGTATAGTCGCAAGTCAAAATGTCTTGATGAGCCAACGAATAAAGGCTCACCCGCCATGGCACACGTCCACCCACTTATACTACCTTGCTATACTCGAGTGTACATGAACTGGTAACCACATCCAATGTCCGGTTGCTGTAGAGAGACCGAAGTGGTCACCGCCAGTATTATTATTTACCACAGCACCAGAGTATTTGCAACGGATGTCGCTTCTGCAGTCCGAATAGCACTAAAGCAGTAGCAGCAGCAGCTACTGCTGCTATTCACTAATTGCCAAGTAACTTTCCTGGTCGTCTGTTGCCAGCAAGTACCTTTATCCGGCGCTCTAGACGATGTGACTTTGTCACTACCTAACCAGGGTGCTTCAGCATCATCCAGTTCGAATGTGGAACTAACCGCTTCCACCACTTCCGCTGATCTAGATCATCCCTATTAATCACATTATCATTATCCAATATGATGATTGAAGTAATCCTCCGTTTTATTCCTGATTTATTTATCTATTTTATTTTTTTTTTTCTGCTTTGAACTAATATGGCCATTCCTGTGGTACCCTAGACGGTGGTTCCGTTTCCCGACAAGACTATGCGCGTTCATTCGTGCAGAGGCCGCAACAAAATTCCTTGCGATCCTGGACCGCCTTGGAAACCATCGGCCTTCCTAATCGAGTAGGTTTCTGGTCATCAATGACGAGGATGATGACGGCTCTAAGTGGTCATACTTAATTACACAGAGTGCAGCCTAGTACAACACCTGCAAAACTGCATCCGAAGCACTTTCACTCTGTTCATCCGAGGTTCATCGTTCGTGATTCTCATTAACCCACTGGTGGTGAGTCCTCGTTGTGTATAGGAGAGAGTCTTAACTTTCCGGGATCCCCTCCTCTGCCACACAATCATTGGGCGAGATGGCCTTGACTAGCATCTCGCGGTGTGTTGTCGGAAATTCAAAGATAGAAATAGGATGTCTGCGAAAGAAACAGATCGACACCGTCGAACATTATTAATGGGGTCGACAATAATAATGGTTACTCGTCCTTGTACCGCGCGGTCCCGACCTGCAAATTGATTGCAGGAAACATCCTGATTATCCAGCATCTCGCCCTCATTAATAATAAGGATGGTTAAATAACTATGCCGCGACTCTGGTTGGGACTAATCCAGTCCTCTTTCATGACTCGAATTGACCTAGTATTGCATGAACTGGCCTGGCCTATCACTAGGCAGACTTAGTCGGATAACGAAGCTCCTCGGAGATTTTCTTATCACGCAAGTTGCCTGGATGGTGCCGCTCTAGCCCGTGGGTTGTCATTCCCATCCCCAGTCTCCTCATCACCTTGCACCTTCAATGTGTACACGAGTGATCGCATCACCGGACTGTGTCAGGATAAAAGGGCGTACGCAAGGACAAGTTCATTTTCCGGAGATTTGCTCTATGCTGAAGATGAGCATTTTTCGGGCCCGTCCTTTCCCGCCTTGCTGCCTTTCCAGGCTCCTTGCATCTACTCATCCTTGCGGCTCGATGCTTTCTAAACATCTAACATTTTGGAGGAGGGTAAACAAACAACCCTCATGGGGAGGATAAGCATGATACATCGCAACCTCCGTGCGAGATGATACTGCAGCTTAAGCTTTCATCTAAGCCAGGCATGTGTGCAAGCTTACTGCTGGCGACCGACAGGCATGATTGCTACGTGCTCTTCAGCACCAAGGACCCTGTAGTAGTCGAGACTCGATATCCCTTCGTTCTCCCTTGAAGGCGGTTGGACAGGCAGCGGTTGCTCCGGTTCAGTATGAGACGAGACCAACAATCCTTGCTCATGTTGAGCCACCGTCGACCACGGCCCAAAGTCAACATGAAGGTTCGAATGCCGCCATCGTCAGTCCGTCTTTCGATGCGAGGCATAGACTACTTCGTAGATTGCAACTTTTGAGGAACCGGGGAAACGCATCCGGTGGACTGGTTTACAAACCGTGTTGAAACCAACCCTTCTTACCTTCAAAATTCCGGGTTTCGTAATCGTGATGAAGGTGACGATGATGATGAGCATAGAGATCCTCGAGGATTTGGAGGCGGAATACTGGATTGGTCAAGCCGAAGCTGCTCAGGAAGCACGCGGCTTATCGTATGCTGGTCGATTCCCGCTACGCGACCGTAATGATTAGCAATAAGCTCAGCGATGACCATTCGACAGATGGCTAGCGCAGCAGAACTTGATATCACCGTTTGCCTCTCGCGGTAGAGGAATTCTCGAGATCCATCACGATCAGAAGCCAACATTATCTACGGAGGCTTTGGCGGCATGTGCACTGGATGCATCCGTCGTGGCCGCTGGAGCCTGAACTCAGCTACGGTTCATCGCCCCGTCCAAGTTCCCTATTCGGTTTTATTCGCCGTCTTGCCTCGCTCCTGTTTTTCTTCTCCAACCGCACGCCCGCTGAAGATTGTCTGGATCGGATACCATTATGGGGAAGTATCGGAAGTTGGGAGGGACTACGTATGTACGGCCTGAAACCTTCCCCGCCGGACCAAATCGAAGTCGTAGAATTTTGATCATTAATGATCATATTACTCGAAGTGGCAAGCCTCGTTCCTTTCTTACTTCACGGCCTTGCCTCGGGAGTAACTATACCGTATGCTACAGTACCACCTGAGAAACCCTCCATGGAGACACTCCCTCCCCCCAACTTGCACTGGGCGAGCTGAACAAGCATCTCCAATAAATACGAAAAAAGAAAAAATAAGGGAATGATGTATCGTTCTCTTCTGATGGAGTCCCTTACAATATTCGTCTCACCATCAGACCTTCATCCACCCTGGGAACCACACATCCCTAGCACGGAGTACCGTTCATCAACATTCGTCCTTCGTTACTTCTGTCTAGGTAGAGTTACTTCTGGCGAAATCACCCACTTTTACTCTCTGTGGCAGCAGACTCCGCTCCAGGCAAGAAAACTGGCCGGGCCACCGACAAGTTTTACCAACCAGGTCGGTAGCGTAAAAGTACCAAAATCTTTGCCCCTGGTTCACAGAATAGTACGTATTTCGATCTCTCGCCCCTGCCACTAACAGAGGACTATATACCGGTCTCAGTATGATCTGGATTCTCCCCTTCCCCTCCTCTACCCACTCGATGTCAGTGCCACCGCGACTCCTGCGGCTGCTCTACATACTCACTTGGTTTTAACCCAACCCGGAAATACCCATCGCATCCATGACTCCATGCGAACGTTTATCATCAGGATCATTAATTATCACCACCCATCAGGAGATGACCTAATTGATCACACCTCTCTCCGGTGCACTAGATGCTGCGATCGTCGCTCCGAGATGCTGACCGCGTCTGTGGGCACCCTCCCATTCCTGCTCAGATGAATTTGACCCAGCGGTTATCAGCTGGCTTGGAGTCAAAGTAGTTAGTCCTGGACACGCTGGCTGTTGAATGCTTGCCGGTGCCTTGGCCCATCCACGCTTGTTCGATTCTAGGCCATGTGCTCGGATTACTATGCGTATTGTTTGCTTTGCTTTGCTTTGCTCTGCTCCTTCGTAGGTACTGTCAGTCGGCCTACTCAATTCCGGGCTTGTCGAACAGGGCAGAGAATTGACTTGTTCTTCGGCTAGCTTTGGTTTCAATAATGATAATGACGGGGGTAAATTTACACTAAACTTTGGATGTTTGGACTAATATACACACACTTTCAGATATGCATACATGCATTCTATCTACTTACAGGCCCGTTAGACCTCACTGTTCTTTAGTCTTAACCCAGTTCAACACGGCCAACCACCCCATGCGTTCTGATCACGACATTTTCATACTAGCATATGTACAATATACATACACTGTTACTCAGAACTAAGAGCCAACTCGAAAGTTGAATACCTCGTGACAGAGAACCATCAGAAGCAGGAAAAGCAAACAGCCAAATGGAGAAGGAAACGCAAAGCCAAAAAGATACGGCTGCCTGACAGCCTCACAGGACCAACATTAGACCACCGCACCCATAACAAGAAAATCATACATGATGCTTACTCGCTACCTCACTCCTGCCTACTAGCTATTTAATGTCGGCCTTGAAGTAGTCACGAATAATGTATGACCAACCCTTGATTATGTCCACCTCACACGGCATCATCATCATCATCATCATTTTTTCTTCTTTTCTTCCATCACCTACTACCCATTCTCAGCTCCCCCTTTCAGCACAACTTTTGAGCGGTGATGCCTGAGTTATATAGAATTATTGACTGATGGATATGATTCGATGGCTACATGATCCGGTAATACTGTATACTAAGTAAGGCTATGTATGGATGCCAGGTAGCTGGCTACTTAGCAAGCTAGGCTAGCTAAGCTAGTAGAGCAAGTAAGCAAGTAGCTTTGACTTTTAGCTTTCGTAGGGCATATGTTATATGTTCTACTCTGTTCTTTGTTCGTTGTGGATGATCGATGGAAATATTGTTATTGGCTATTTTGATACCACGTTGTGGAAATGAATGAATAGGCGGAAAGTAACTGTCTGCTGATAGTCCTGTTTTTTCTTATCACCAGGAGGTTGTTTGAATGCTATTGAGACTAGAGGTACCGTGAACGGTTATCTATTGGGCTTGTGGTATTAGTGGATGTGTAGTTGATATGTGCTGGGCTGAACTGGGTTGGGCAGCTTGATAGTAGTACTACTACTATCAATACATCTAGCATCACAGTCAGTGGCGCATCTTGCTGCGAACACAGTGGGGAGGTTCTGTGATCTTTCATAGTATCTATCTGTTTAGTTTTGTCTCAATATGAGAGGGTTAAAGATTAGGTGAAGCTTAGAAGCGCAGCTACTATTACTACTATCCTTTCGGTGCTGTCCACCATGCACACACTTTCTATTTACTTACTCTATATAGTATGTCTCTAGTACCCACGTTGTGACAGAATGGTAAATAAGAGTTGTGTAATAGTAGATACCAATTAATATAGATCACTAGTAGTGCGTTTAATCTTTCTCATTAGTTATAGTAGAGTAGGTATGCTCGATAGTAAGCCTATAGTATATATATATTTATATATTTAAATAATCGATTCTGCTCTTAGAGAGGAACAGCTCGTTGGTAAATATATCACAAGTACTGCACAGTAGCCAGAGTCCTTGTGGAAAGCACCGATAGTTATACACACACACACACATATATATATACTATATACACATCGAACAATCTACTCCTAAACCCACAAACGTGACTTGAGCATTAGCTTTACAATAGCGTCGTCACGTCTTTACTATATCTAGCTTCGCCCTATGATACAAACTCGAGTAGATCGCAGAAGAAATACCGGTGTCGAATTACTAACAACTAATCTCCCAAGCCTGACAATATACTTAGTCTATTCAGTATTATGATACTCTGTGGATGCACGTCTACGTTACTTTAAAGGGAGGGAAGGATCAGCTGGTAGTTACTAACTGCTGGAATGATGATGAAAGGTACCTAAACTGAATACTATGTACTATATAGATAAATAAATATATACATATATATACTAGGTGTCGAGGTGTCAAACGGTAGGCTTCTACAATCAGTCACATACATACTTGAACCATCATATAAATCATTACTTGTTGTACCAGAGTTATCAATAAATTACAAGCACAGTTAATACTTACCATCATGATATAGTAGATTTAAGATGATTGCAATGATCTCACCACCGTAGTACCCTACCAATATAATTTACATACAACTCTGACATCCCATTCCTGATGATTTCATATCATATAAGTCTCTTAGAATTTATCATTAAGCATGCCTGTTAGCTCTAAATTCACTAAAAAATGACGTAGTAGTATCTAATAGTGATTTAGTATCCGTGCTCGAGTAAAAAGATAACCAACCCAAAAGCCATTTTGTATCAATTTTCCTGTTCCTTTGATCTATGACAAGGCAACGAGGGGCGACTAAGAAGATCTAATGAATATATGTGCTACAGGTTTCATTGTAGAGGAGAATGGGCCTAGAAGTTGAAGAGATGGTGTCTTGCTTAATGTACCTTGTCGATGAGGAAGTACTCGATGGTTTGAGAACATGATATGAGTGACAAGAAGCCATGCTCTTTTTATATTGAGGATGGATGAGCAGTGTTAGGGATATATTAGTAGCTTCACATACCCTCTCTTCCTATGTCATCGCATAATTTGTATGCCGAGTGCTGTATGAAATATGATCCTAAAAGAAAAGGCTTATAGACTATACGGCCTCAAATCTTCCCATGAATAAATAAGTAAGAGCGAGTCTAGTGGGAACTGGGATAAGTATGTGCTATCCAAATTGAGAAATGACTTCTGGATAGAGCGTATCGAAGGTCTAGCATTATGTGGTAAGCGATGATTGGCAGTCGATCACTTGGTGCATCACAACATTCAGCGACGCCTATAGATGCATTCCACATATACTTCTGCAATAAAATAAAATTCAGCTTTTTGACCGAACTGGTCGCTGTTCTTACGAGAATACAGGTTAGTTGCTGCTCGAAGGTACTAGACCGGACCAAAGTTTCCACGACGAAAGCCGAACCATACACGCAGTTATTCATTTTGCATAGAGCTTCATGCTTGCTCCTTGCATTATACAACCTTCCTCACATCAGCTTCCCTATATGACATACCAACATATGCACGTAAGCCACTCGAAATCGGACCAACAGCAGGGGGGTTCGGTCGGACAAGACCTAGAAAAGGGTACCCAATAACCGCCGAGGTGGCTTGTGGTTGTACAGATACAACTGCAGATGCTCCTGGTTGGATCGCCGAGTGACAAGTCAGATATGTTGTACGTGAGACAATTGTACTACATGCTCGGAGTTGCGGTATGGTGTGCCGAACATCAGGCTCATCTGAGCATTTTGGAGCGATAGTATGCCCATGTATATGCTGTGTGCGATGATCATTCGTCTTGAATCTTTTGAGCATAACCAAACCATACCGTGCCTTGTTTATACGTTCTTTGTATGCGGACTAGGACCGTATGAGTCGTCACACTGGATGATCGTAGGATGTTACATTGCATCGATGCAGCTGCTACTTCGAAGATCGCCGAGGGAGTGGTCGCTTCGCCCATTGGTGTGCCCCTTACCGGAACGGGAGTACTTTATCTGTTTACTAGACTGTTAGCTTGAGACTGGATCAGTCTCTAACCGCAAATCGAACAGCAGCCGATGGTTGGAATTGAAAGCATGTCATGAGCGAGTGTGTCCGGCCATCAAGCATTGGTGAAGTCTGTAATTGTAGGGGAAGCCACCGGAGGACAGCTAATGGCCCGTCTTCCTTAAGAGTGAGGTATTTATCTTCCCATAGCCGTACTCTCCCGACTCGTGTTGGCAGCAAATATCTCTTGCTAGCCGAGACTGATTTCAACGCACATTCAAGGTATCCCACATAAGTCATTGTTGTGTCGTTTCGAACACCATACAAGCAGCTGGTGGGAGCATATGAGATAGAAGCCGCAACGTTCGGTGTTGCACGCAAAGATGGAAAAGATGGGCAGCATTGGCTTGGGAAAGCTGGCTATTGGAATTTCCGGCAACGAGAATGGACTTGATCGAGGCAACGTTCCTGTGGGTATGTGGGTCAAGGACAGAACAACGAGGCCATAGCAATCTGGCCTGATAGCATCTTAGCAGCACCAGCCATCAGCCAAGGCGTGTATGATCGACCGCAACCACGGGAATTAACGGACTTGGAAATGGATGCAAATGGAGGAAAACGGGCGATTGAGAAAAAGTGGAGCATCAAAATCCCCGGATTCTCCTCGTTCTTTTGGTTTGGAGCTTAGAGGCCAGTGGTGGAGTGACAGAAGTGGATGTCAAACGACACTGGAGATTCTCTAGTCGTTCTAGATGCGGGAGAAGCCGGGGAGGATCTCGGGAAGGACCGTGTGTCCCAGCTGGACGGGCGACGGATGAGTCAGCGAGACAGTGGTCCAGACCGAAAAAGGAAAGCACGATGGGCGAGAGAATCAGGAAAGAGCGCGCGGGAATGCATGGAGGAGCTGCAGGAGAATAAATAATTATACGGAATAGAGAGGGGATAGTTAGGAATAAACCAGTGGATCATGCAATATTCTATCTTGCCTAGCATCCCATCGGGGAAGAAGGGTTATCCATCTATCCCCGATCAGAGACAATGACGGAAACATTTAACCCCAGTATACAATCGTCATCCATAATCAAATGTAGTGATGTCGACTGACATTACCTACCAAATGCTTAGTCCAAATGTTATGATAAAAGCCTCAAGAAACAGTGCCTCAGGAAGGGAAGTGTGATTTTCCCCTCACAGCAAAACCCGACTGCGCCTAACTTCTCCCCACTAAGTAATCTTTCCCCTCACGAAACTATTTTCCTCCTCCTCTCCAAATTTTTTTCATCTCCAACCCGCCACATGTGAAATAAATGGCAAAATAGTCTCTATACCCAAGCAGGAATGAAAAACTCTTT